CTCTTTTATTGAGGAACGATTTCCGTATTTGGAGCTTAAAGATAAGCATGTGGATGATGTTGTTGGATTCCGATATGAAGAAAGGGTTCTCGAAGATGATACAACTCCTGTAATGACAGATAAAGCGGTGCATGATGTTACACAGACGGAAGCTGGTGTAACACAGGATGTTACACAAGCAGAACCTGAAAAAGCGGTTTGTGGCTAGATCTCTACGTTTATGTTTGTAACGAGTATGTATGAGCATAAAATAAAGAACACATAGAGTTTTTCACAAGGTTCGGTTTTTCCTACATCTCCGGGACCTAGTCCAGAATCAATCCATTAGAAAAGGCCGCAACCTACAATTGCTATATGGCATACCACCACTCTTTTCTACATGGACAAACTATGAAGATAGGTATCAAGCACACATGCTTGACAACCAACCAGCAGCACCGGTGCAACACCGTCTTCTCAACGGCTGCAATCTTCATAGACAAACCACCATCAATATGGTGGGACGATGCCACACACACATGTGTGCATCTCACAAAGGAACCCTAGGCGCGTGACTCTTTTTGTCAACGCCTCTTGCCTTTTATACTACCACCACGAAACMCTCACGTTTCATGTCATGTGGGCTTTTAACCTCTCTCATAATTGGGCTTCTAATTCAATAAGAGCCCAATCTCACTTTTTTCCACGTGTTGGAACAGCTCTACATGTGTTCCAGCGGCTCGTATTCTGATGCTCCATAAACCTCTATTTCATTCTCCCATTTTTTGATTAAATGTGTGCATCCAACCTCATCCTAACACTATCTAGATTTAGCATCGAGTCCCCCTCAGTGGCAGCATCAATTCTTTCTTGATACTCACTTCTTGAAGCTCTTTATTGGGATTTGTTGGAGATGCATCGGCACATTAATCTCCCCCATCTTGGTTAACACATTCATTCAAAACCTCTCAAGAAAATCAAGGAACAAGGACGTACATCACACTCTCCTTCTGTGAAAACCATTTTTTTTTGTCCCAAAGA